TATTTCTTATGACCCTGATTCAATGTCATGGATGCACCTTGCACCTGCAAAAGTTGTGGATTCACCTGCTTCCCCCAAATTGGAAGATGTTCTTGAGATGTTCAATGACCTTATAATTGCTTGAGAGATGAAAAGGAGTTTCTTTTATATGTTTTGAAGCTCGAGGTGATGAAAGAAGGGCTTTCCCGGATCAAGGATGTTTTGTTAGATAAAAATATTGGGTACAGGGAGAATAGGCATCAATAGAGTTTAGTGCAAAAGAAGCTCACAAAGACATTGGGTCACTCATATAGATGCTTGTTTACACTTGTGTTGTACTATCTCTGTGGCAGTGTTAGAGATATTGAAGTTGAACTTTGTGGTGGGGTTTATGAGAGTGGTCGAGGGAATGGGTTCTGTTTGTGTATGGGGAAAATATTGACATCAGATCAGGAGAATATGGTTTGGTGTGGGGTGAAGCAATTGGACAAGGCTCTTGTGCTCTTCAAGTTTGTGTGAAAATGGCTAGAATGAAAGGAGTTTTGGAGCTGCAAGGCCATTTGTGGTGAGTTGGGGTTGAGAACGGGCATATAGAGGAAATGTGTTCTTTGTACATGATATTAGTCTCTGAGACAAGAGCATCTCATCAATGGAGATTGTTGGCTTTGTGTGGTGATGCATTCATCAGTGGTGACCCTGCTCTGGTCAAAACTGCATGCATGTTTTTGAACCCTTCATGGTTTTGTGATATTAAGGGATAGACTCAATTCTCTTTCAGTACGATAAATTATATGTTGTATAAGTGTACAAAACCACAAATTTTATTTCTGGTAGAAATAACATTTCTTAATTCTGTGTGAATGTGATTTATTTAACCAAATTCACAATAAATGGATTGATGTTGTTCTATGTTCCTTTTTTTTTTTTTGGAGATTTTTCATTAAGATTCATTTTCCTAGATTGAGGATATTAGGAGGGACAAATTAGATACATACATATTCTTTGACATTATATATATGAAAATGATTATTGTACATTCATATAGCCTATAGGGTTATACATTCCTTCTCACAGACTAAAACTTTTATCTTATCATCTGTTTGTTTCCGAGGAATTGAACAAGCAACTTTTTTTGTTAAATCCTTTTCAAATTTTGCGAAAGCAACAAAAGATGTTCTAACTTGTCACCACAATTTTGTCCTTGAAGTTGTTACTAATTAGAAATCTATGAAACCAAATATCTCAAATCATTGAACCAAAATTATTCTTGGGGCAGCAGGGCATATAAAGGGTATATAGATTTTGTGGAATTTCCTTTTCTAGGCTGTTAAAACAAGTGGCCTTCAATAGGTCAATATGTTCACCATACAAGGGGGAAAATTATGTTCTATATCATAGATGCATTTTTTATAAAATCATTATGTATTAACTATTATTTTTTAATAGTGCATACATACGTATATTATGCATTGATATGATTTGATGTTTGGGTCGAATCTTTTCTAATCAGCATGAGTGACTTTGCTAGAGAGACTTATCAAGTGATGAAAGACTAGGTCAAGGTAGTTAATTCATAATTGGAGCATTTTAGCCTACTTTAACGGCAGGGAGTTGAGGAAATATTGGTGGTCATTGAGATTAATCAGGTGATTAATAACGACTAGTTCATAACTCTCAAGTATAAATAAGGAAAAATGCTATATGGACTTAAAATGCTGACTTGATCAATTATAACCATTGAATAGGTAGTAAGTCCCAATAAATTGTAAGACCCACATTAAATCAATGACAATGATTTATTAAGTCAACAAATCAAGGCAAATTTTTAAGTCAATGTAGCATTGCTCACAAATAAGACTCTCTTCTAGCTACAAAGAGAACTACCACTGTGAAACACTCAGTTTAGAAAAAACTCATTAGAGATAAAATCTCAACTCTATTGCATTCATATTAAAGAGGGTTTCTAAATCTCAAAGGCTAGGTTCCCATTTACAGAAATTTTCAGTTCCTTTATTTCTCAAATTCCAACAAATAGAAATCAACAATGCTACTCGGACGAAATCCTTACGAAATTTTGTTTGCCAGATCCAAGTGAATTTGGTAAGCAAAAAATACAGTAAGAGTCTGGGTATCTGCAAGCATTCTCAATATGAATGACTTGTTCAATATAGAGATCTTCTCAACAAAAGAGATTTCTTTGGTATTTATTGCGAAAAACATTAATGTAGAAGAAGAAAATTCGAATTCGATAATAATATAAACATTTAGGTAAAATATACAATTTTAAAAATTAATCTGAGATTACTAGAATTGTTATAATATGACTGCAAATACATTATTTCAAATTTGGTGTCATGTCTAAATTATGTGGGTTATAATCATATTAGGTGTAGTCGGGCTTGTATCGACTCATCTATTAAGTGGGTCTGATGAGTCAAACTGGTAATGATGTTAAACCAGTAAAGTTAAAGTGACACCTATTGCCTTAATGTTTATTTCTTGTTGGATTGGTGGTATATTAAAAATTAGTTATTGGTCGTGCTTGAAGGCACAAAATAATAAAAAAAAACTGTCAATTATGAACATACCTGTATTTACATCCAAAATTAAATCACAAATATAAATGAGAGAGAAAGGAATTTAAGCAACAATTGTAATGGGGGTGAGTGCTGGCAGTGGTGGTGGGCGGTAGTGGTGGTGATAAGAGACAGTGATTGTTGTAGTGGGGGCCGACGACTGTGATAGTGGTGACAGTCGTGGGTGGCAACTATGATGGTGGTGGTAGGTATGGCGACAGTGGATGGCAGCGGTGGTGGGTGACAACGAGTGGTGGTAGTTTGTGGTAGTGGATGGTCATGGGCAACAATGATGATGGTGGGTGGTGGCGGTGGGTGACGGTGGTAGTGGTAGTGATAATAAATATAAGAATGAGATGGTGATAGTGGTGGATGGTGGCGGTAGGTATAGGTGATAGTGACTGGCGGCGATGGTAGGTGACGATGAGTGGTGCTGGTTTGTGGTAGTGGGTGATGGTGGGCAACGATGATGATGGTGGGTGCATGGTGGGAGTGGGTGACGGTGGTGGTGAAATGATGGTGGTTGTGATAATTAATATAAGAATGAGATGATAATAGTGATGGGTAGTGGCGGTGGGCGCCGGTGGAAATAATAAGTGGTGGTTGTGGTAATGGTGATAGGGGGCGGTGGCAGTGGTGATCGATCATGAATTGTTGTTATTGATCATTAATAATCTCAATTAGTTTTTACTTGATTTTAAAAAATATAACTTGATCTTTAAAAGATTTAACATTTACAATAAATCATGAAATTTTATTATCGGCCATTTCTTGTGCAGTTTTAACTCACACACCTAAAAGTTGTAATTTGACTTAAAAAAATTGTATCTTCTGGTGTGATACATCTTTTGGTCTCATAGTATAAACTTTTGTGCTGAGAAGTCTAAACAATAAATAATTTCAAGAGTAAAGTGCCATTGTTATGTTTTTACAAAAGAAAACACTGACATTGCCTAGGTTTTGCGGTGTGATACATTTTATCTTTGAGAGGATATATAAAATATATTAATGTTAAAGTACTTGAGGAATACAATGACATTTGTCCTCCAAAAGAAAAGTTTAAACTGTTAGAGAGAAATGATTATTAAACAATCATTTATTCTAAAAGTTTAAATTGTTAGAGCTAGTGTAGATTATGTATTTATACTTCAACAAAAAGAAAAAAACACAATAATATGCCAAAAGACAAAGAAACCAAAAGGATAAGGGTCTATTTGAAAGACAACTCAAAAGTCCATCTTATAGATGCAAACACTTCTCAAAGAGATAAAATTGTTTGGTGTCTAAAAAAATTTAGACTAATCAAAAAAGTGCATATTCAAAATGCACATTATAGAGAAGTCTATTAGGGGAGCTTCTCAAAACTATCCTATTTACACAGTAAGTGATATATAATTTCACATCGCTTTCCAAAATTAGCCTTAATTTTTGCAATTATATATATATATATATATATATATGTGTGTGTGTGTGTGTGTGTGTGTGTGTGATAGCCTTGCTTAATTGATAATTTGCATATCTCATATTATAAGATAGAAAGTAAAAAAAGATATATCGTATTAGAACACTAGTTATAAATAGGCATGACTAGTTAGTTGTAGATAAACATGACTAGTTGTAGATAGACATTGGTTCAAACACACTTCTAAAATATACTTTTACCAAATAGTTAGATATTTCAAAAAGTCCATCTTAAAAAGTCTATTTTAAAAATTACATTTTAAGGATGAGTTTTTATTTTGAGAAGTTACGTCAAACGAAACCTAAGTATCCACAATGAAAGTAGATTTAAATCCCCTCCATTACCCCTTTCTTCCAATTTTTTTTAATATAGTGCTAGATAAGTAACATGTATAAAATTCTGAATTTCAATGGACAAAACATTTTCCTTGTGAGAAAATTCCTTTATAATGGTTAACGCTCTACTAACAACAAAATGAATAAAAAAACATCTTATCTGTTGAAATTTAAAATCTTATGCATGTCACTCATCTATCACTATATTAAAGAAAATTGAAAAGAAAGCCTACTAAATCCACATACCTTTAATACTTAAGGTCTTCGCAATAATATCATCACATATGTTTGTAACTGAAATAATGGAACAAATTATTGGCAAGGAAATGAAGCGAAAGCATTCACTTATCATTAATTTTCCCAAGCTTCGTACATCTCATTCACAATCCATGCCATAAGTTTAGTAAAAGATGAAAGGATGGCGCCTTGGTTGAAGAGTACCTCAATAGCTATTGCAAAGAACAGTATTCCCATAAAATAGGATGACACGATAAATATAATATAGTCTTATGGATATTACAATAAGTAACCATCTCTGAATTCTCAAGTCACAGAGAGAACACACCGCTTGTATGAATGTGAGCAGGAGAAGAATCGCAGCTATGACGATAAAGAGTGTAGCCCATGGAGTCCCAAAATAATCGCATTTCAAGGTTGCCCTCCATTTGTGCCAATGAATTCAAGCAGTTGATTATGAATTCCAGCAAAATAGTAGCCCTCACGGTTTATGACAATGTCTTTACCGAGTTTGTTGAACATATTCGATACATCTTTGTTGTCCCCATTCACAGGCTTGATGATTCCGCTGCGACCAAGTAAGTCAACATCCTCCAGAGAGTCAATGAGGTTATCGAAGAAGACAATATAGTCACTTATGTCACAAACATTATAATAACGCCACTCGAGGGCAATTAGATTTTGTAAGATACATTCTGTTTTCAAATGGTAAATTTGGGATTTCCAAAACACCGTTTTCAAATTTCACATCAAACAAGTTCTTGCTTTCTCCCTTCTTAAACGTTACTCCAGCCTCGTGGAGCTTTGTTGCGCAACCTCCGGTGCTATATTTACCGCTCGTATTGGGTGGCTTCGGAGGTTGCGATGGTATGAGACAATTTCTTAGGAAATCAAGCAAATGTTTCGCTTGTAAAGAGTTTCTAATTTCCAGTATATAGTCTGCTTGCGATAGAATCCCGAAATATTCCTTGAAGTATTTGCAGGTTAGATCAACCAAAGATGGTCTCTCAGCTGTACCACCTGGGATCTGGTATGCCTCGAAGTTTGCGAGGTCGAAAAGATCCTCCAGAACAAAAAATGGAATTTGATTTTCAAAAAACATTATATCATAGTTTATGTCAAAAACCGTCCATGGTTTGTGGAATATAGGATCATTCAGATCAACAGTAGAAAAGAACCGAGTGCTCCACATGAGTTCAATCATGAAAGCAGCATCAACAAGAATCATTTCTACAAATTCATCACTTCCAAAGTCGATGATTTCTCCAAAACATTGGCGTATTGTTTTCACCTTCTCCTTGAGTATTTTAACAAAATCCATCAACCCCTTTTGGGTTCGTCCAAGAAAGTTGTGTAGGTACCTCCGTTTATGTTTTTCCATGGCTTGTAACGCTACTTTGCCTGGTGAAACGGACCGATTGAGACTGCCAAAGGAGTATAGGCTGCTTCATTATTTTTTCGAAGTTTCGGGGAGACCTTGAAGATGCAACACTCGGAGGATGGAGGTGGCAAACTTTCTAAGCTCTCTTGCATCGAATTTACCAGTGGAATGCAGGCTTTTCCCACATCAATTGTATGAGAATTTCCTCTGCTTGTGCCAATATTGTCCATTCTTGTAGTTTAATGGGCACCTGTGTTTACTGGAAAGCAACAATCAATCTTCTCATTTAGCATTACACTCTCTATTCCGACTTATTTCTTTATTGCAAAAACTCAATGTTATCCTGAAAGGCACTAAGGTAAAAGAAAAATATCTGAATTCGATAAAAATTGAAACATTTAGGTAAAAAATAAAAAGGTTAATCTGACATTAACAAATTGTTGTAATAAGATTGATAATGATTCATGTTAGGTTTGGTATCATGTATAAATTATTTTAGGTTAGAATCAAGTTATGTGTAGTCAAGTTCAACCATTTCTAAGTGGGTCCGATGCGTGTCAAACTGATAATGACTTCAATGATCCACACATTAAAGGCTAAAGTCACATTTGTTGCATTTATGTTTATTTCTCATTTGATTGACGGGTTATGTTACAAATTGGCGACCCACATTAGTTTAGGTACTAGATAATATTTGAACCGTGGGCCTATTTTAAAGAAAAACACGAAGAAATAATTATAGATATAGATAATGCTTATAGAAATGAAGAAAACACACACAGAAACTCACGCATGAATATTAAGCATGCCGTTGATTCAAAGAACAAATTGGTCATAGCTCTTTGTATCAATTTAAGCTATTTCTTGAGATTTGGGCAAAAAATCTTGCCTACGTTCTCGGAGCGTGACCTAGATCATGTAGAGCGAGAGCATAAAAGTGACAAAATTTAAAATATTTTATAGCGGGAGCACTTTGAGAGCATCATACTAGATGCATCAAGACAAACATTCACCCAAAAAAGTTCATAATAATAAAATATAAAAAATTAAATTTCATGCATAACTATGTGGAATGCTATTTAATTTTTAAATTTATATTGGTTATAAGGTCTTGAAATAGTAATTATAAGTTACAAATATCATTCTACTATGATATACATCTTTATGTATGAGTTAGTACTTTTCAAATAAAAATTTCAGTAATGCTATATTGACCAAATTTTGGGACCAAATTTAGAGTTCAAATAACATGGCAATTGACTTGGGCTTCTTTATTTGCTGTTATGTCATTTGAACCCCAATAAAGACTCCAAATAATATGTTGTCATACTATTTGAGTTCCAAATTTAGTTCTAAAATTTGATCAGCCTAGCATTACTATAAAAATTTTAGTAATAATGAATAAACATATAACTAAGTAAGAGCACAAATTTATGAATTGAAAATTTGAATTCTCGCGAAATTAAAGCATAATAAAACTGAAAATTAATTGAACTTACTTCTTTAAAGAGCTCTAAGTGCCAATTTGTTTGCTCTTGCAAGTGTAAACAGTTAAGAGAACTATATATAGAAACACATGGGTACCATAGAGGACTTCTTTACGCTTAACCATTATTTCAAGTAAAGTATTTGTTCTATTTGTCTGACTCTAATTGGTAAAGTTTGTTATTTGCTTAGTCTTGGTGATCGAGCTTCAATAGAGAAAGACAAAAGAATAAAGTTAAGGTGATCCACGTTACATGCAGTCAATAAAAAATATGTAGTTTCGCCAACTTTAATTGGTGTGTTCAGGCTCTACTCGAACAGAATATCATTGGTTCAACTTCAGCTAGAGTTCGTGGGCAGGGACAAAATCAAGATTTCATTTCAAGGGGACCTAACAATGATATAGATAAAAATTTTATTAACTAGTTAAACAGTTTATATAGAATTTATCAAAATTACCTTTCATACAATACAATTGTAAAAATTAGTTTAGGTCATAAAATCCAACGAAATCAGTTCTTTATTATCTTAAAAATTAGTTTGAGACGGTATCATGTTCCTTTCATTTCCACATTATAATGTCATGTAATTACTTGATAATAATTTATTGTCACAAATAATTGTAACACCCCCCCCACTACCCAGCAAGATATTGTCCTCTTTGGCATAGGGTCACGGAACACCGTTCTCCTCCCCTGCCCTCAAGGGTTTGTTCCTCCCAGGGGTTCCCTGGGAAAAGGCCTCTTGCAAGGTAAGGGCTGAAGGCTTACTTATAAGCCCAGCAACTCCCCCCTCCGTAACCGATGTGGGATACCAGGATCTCACAATCCACCCCCCTCAGGGCTGCACGTCCCCGTGCAGCTAGGTCATGGACTACCGTTCTCCTCACTCCTACACGCTGACCCGTGCAGGGCCCCACACTCGGCACCGCCAAGGGGTCGGCTCTGATACCATTTGTAACACCCCCCCCACTACCCAGCAAGATATTGTCCTCTTTGGCACAGGGTCACGGAACACCGTTCTCCTCCCCTGCCCTCAAGGGTTTGTTCCTCCCAAGGGTTCCCTGGGAAAAGGCCTCTTGTGTAACACCCCCCCCCACTACCCAGCAAGATATTGTCCTCTTTGGCACAGGGTCACGGAACACCGTTCTCCTCCCCTGCCCTCAAGGGTTTGTTCCTCCCAGGGGTTCCCTGGGAAAAGGCCTCTTGCAAGGTAAGGGCTGAAGGCTTACTTATAAGCCCAGCAACTCCCCCCTCCGTAACCGATGTGGGATACCAGAATCTCACAATCCACCCCCCTCAGGGCTGCACGTCCCCGTGCAGCTAGGTCACGGACTACCGTTCTCCTCCCTCCTACACGCTGACCCGTGCAGGGCCCCACACTCGGCACCGCCAAGGGGTCGGCTCTGATACCATTTGTAACACCCCCCCCACTACCCAGCAAGATATTGTCCTCTTTGGCACAGGGTCACGGAACACCGTTCTCCTCCCCTGCCCTCAAGGGTTTGATCCTGGTATCCCACATCGGTTACGGAGGGGGGAGTTGCTGGGCTTATAAGTAAGCCTTTAGCCCTTACCTTGCAAGAGGCCTTTTCCCAGGGAACCCCTGGGAGGAACAAACCCTTGAGGGCAGGGGAGGAGAACGGTGTTCCGTGACCCTGTGCCAAAGAGGACAATATCTTGCTGGGTAGTGGGGGGGGTGTTACAAATGGTATCAGAGCCGACCCCTTGGCGGTGCCGAGTGTGGGGCCCTGCACGGGTCAGCGTGTAGGAGGGAGGAGAACGGTAGTCCGTGACCTAGCTGCACGGGGACGTGCAGCCCTGAGGGGGGTGGATTGTGAGATCCTGGTATCCCACATCGGTTACGGAGGGGGGAGTTGCTGGGCTTATAAGTAAGCCTTCAGCCCTTACCTTGCAAGAGGCCTTTTCCCAGGGAACCCCTGGGAGGAACAAACCCTTGAGGGCAGGGGAGGAGAACGGTGTTCCGTGACCCTGTGCCAAAGAGGACAATATCTTGCTGGGTAGTGGGGGGAGGTGTTACAATAATAGTTTTACACGGTAAAATAAAATTGAGTCGCGAGTCAACATATTGTTTTTTGATATAAACTACATTTATAATCTACTTTTACAAATAAATTACATTTTTTTAACTTACTATGTTTATCAAACTCGTCCAACCAAATATCTTCGGTTATAAAACCATCACTCATCCATGCCTTCCATCCCCCATTTAGCTATTAAATATCAATTTATTGGTCTTTTCAAAATGCATTAAGTAAATTGTCTATGCATAAAGTTTTTTAGAACCTAAGGAGAAACATAGGATTTGTTTTCTAAAACTTATGAGATGTTACAGTGATTTTTGAAAATTTGAGTGCGTCATGGCCCCTTTAGGCCCCTTCTTAGTTCCACCCATGTCGTGGGTGTTTGATAAGGTAGTTTATATCTTATCTATAAAGCTAATATTTTGTTATTTCTTCACCACAAAAAATATTTTTACATTATAAAGAAATAGCGTTTGAGCTTATCAAATCGAGCAGTGTATATTTATATGTCATAAACGAATAGAGCTTGTGCATATCAAATCGAGTGACACTCAATTTTGGACTAAGATGAAATATTTAGAAATTAAATGACACTCAATTCATTTGTTTAATACGGTCGAACTTGAATGAACTCAAACCAAGTCAAACTCGAACAGTCGACTCACAATCTATGGCCTAAATGCTAAACACAAAGAACTTCAAAAAGGTCTAGGAGGCATACGATTGAGCCTTAAGAATAATATATTAAACATCTTGTCCATATCTTTTTTTTTTGTAAGTAAAAACCTGCTCATGTCGAAGTAGCTAAAACAAGTTTAGCTGAATCTTTGATTAGGGTTCTCAATCTTGAAACAGACAAAAGAAATAAAGATGTTGCAACATCACGATCTGTCTCATTCAATGATGAATGACTTTGTTTTTTGTAGACAAGTACAAAAAAGTACTAAACACTAGTTGAGTATGCTACGTTCGACCCTTCAATATGTTATTTTTTTTTTTTTGAAATATAAAACATGTATAAATATAATCCATAAACAGTACACTATGAGGGAAAGTCTTTAAGTAAATAAAATAGGCTCAACATAGTGTAATAAAAAGTATACAAACATGAACCAAAAAGAGACGCTACAAAATAGAATTTTAAAAGAAGTATAGGCCTTGAACGAGTACTTCCAAATGAATCACACTTGGAGAGAGCATCATTTGATAGAATGCAAATTCATGAAGCATTGATAAATGTTCAAACATCCAAAAACCCTTGTATGTTATTAAGTCCAAGCTTACTCCATTCTTCAATGCTTAATAACATCATGTGCTA